AGGTATCACTGGCCCCATCTCGAAAATGCAGGTGATGCTAGTTTATGACTCACCCTGTCCCTCACACAGGGCTGCTGGGAGCAGCGGGTGAGAAGAGCCACAGAGCACAGGGTGTGGGCAGGGCCCCAGGGCTGGGAGGCAGGCAGGCCTCATTTCAGGTCCTGACTGCCTGCCTTTCCAGCTCCATGACTCTGGTCAGGTGACTCAACGGCTCTGAGCCTCACTGTTCTCATCTCCAAAATGGGCACAAGCAGACCTTCCTGGTAGGGTTGATAAAAGAATCAACCAAGATAAATCCTGTCTTATTGCTGATGATTCCAAAATTGGTCATAGAGGGTAGAGGGGTCCAGCCACTTTGCTGAGAGCCAAACGTCTGCATCCGGCTGCCTCCTCGGCACCTTCCCAGCACCTTTTCATTTTTTTTAAATTAAAAAAAATATATATATATGTTTATTGACTTCAGAGAGAGGAAAGGATAGGGGGAGAGAGAGAAACATCAACGATGAGAGAGTCATTGATTGGCTGCCTCCTGCACACCCCCAACTGGGGATCGAGCCCACAACCAGGGCATGTGCCTTGCCCGGGAATCGAACCCTGATCTCCTAGATCCTAGGCCGATGCTCAACCGCTGAGCCACGCCCGGCCAGGCTCCCAGCACCTTTTCAATCTTAGCTTTGCTGAGGCAGAGCTCTGGTCTTTGCTCATGGCTGAATCCCAAGCGCCTAGCATGGTGCCTGGCACACAGCAGGCCCTTATGACCATGTTTCCATTGGTAATTGGCACCTCCTAGGTGCCTGGCCCGGGAAGCTGCAGCCAGATGGATGGGGACCCGTCATGGTCCATCGTTCTCGGCCCCACTCCACCCCTCGCTCCACCTTGCTCAGGCTTCTTTCTCCTGAGCACACACGCTGACTGTCCTCACTTGGGTCCCTACCTGGGGCTGAAGCAGCTTGTCCTCTGCTGTCTCTGTTAGAATTTCTCTGCCCTCTGTCAACTGCCCAGGCCCTAAGAGCTGGGGAAATGGAGGCACAGAGCTGTAGCTGCTGATGTGAGAGGAGGGAGGGCGTGGGTCCCTGGGCTCTGGTAATGTTCCAGCCAATCACATGAACGGTTCCCCGGGGCCTCTGGGGCAACCTCATTCTGATGCCTGATTTATCATTTTAATTGAGTGTGTGCATATTGATTTTTTCCCTTGACAACAGAGTTCTCCCAGGGCAGGCCTGAGAAGGGATGAGTTAGAGGGGAAATCCCGGGTCCTGTTCCTGCCTCTGCTTCTGAGTCCTGGCTTTCTCCTCCCAGGGCCTCAGTTTCCCTGTCTGCAAAATGGGGGTTCATATAGATCATCTTCTTGTCTTATGTGCCTGAAGTACCACCACTAACCTACTGCTGAGGGTTGAGGTGCTGTGTTACCTGGAAGGTGTGACCCCTGGATGGGAAGGGAAGGAAAAAGAAGGGATGGGAGCTCGTTGTATTTAACCACCTTGTTGTGCCAAGTCTTGAACTGGGCAGAGCAGGGTTAGGAGTGGGAGGGGCAGAGTGAAGTGGTTGAAACAACTCAAGTTTCATAGGCCATGTGCAAATTCTGGCTCCACATATAGCCTCAGTGTTCTCATCTGTAAAATGGGGGTAGTAACACCTACTGTGGGGCAAAGTAAGAGAATGTATGTCATAGGTGCCTAGCAGTGAGCAGGCCTATCGTAAGTGCTCGATGAATGTTAGCTAAGATGGCTGTTGTTATTATCCACATTCACCCTCTCCCAGCCCTTGTTCACTTTGCGAACTCCTATTCATCCAACAAAACCCTCCATGTGTTCACCTCCTCCAGGAAGTGCTTTTCTGTTCTGCTGCAACATAGCTTTTTGTTGCATGTCTATCCTTGTACTGTCATTCAATGATTCATTTTTGTTCTTAATCTTCCTCACTGGTTGATGGCTTTCAGGAGGACAAGAACCAGATCAGCATTACCAGCTCCAGGCACAAAGCCTGCCACAAAGGAGGCATCTGCAACTGAAACAGGCAACCTACTTGGCACAGGTCAGGGCTCAGCTGGAGTGGGAAAGAGGAAGATTCAGTCTTCATGGAGAGGGAGTGGAGACCGGAGCAGAAGCCAAAGCACACAAGGGCCCCCCAGGGGTAGGGGTGGGGACATGGCTCCTAAGGGCAGTGCAGGCCAGCTCTGCAACAAAGGACTCTGGGAGCTCCTCCGGGCCAGGTCAGGGCCCGCCAGCCCGGCCGCCCTCTCTCCAGGGCTCTCTTTACCAGGTATCGATTTTCCTGCCTGTTTACTGGTAGTTATTAAAGGCTGCGTCCCTGGAGTCCTTTTCAGACAAGATTGGAACCTGGAGAGCTGGAGTAATTAGGGCAGCTGCCGTCGGCCCCGCCGGGCCCGCACCCGCAACGCCGCTGCTGCCGGCCTGCCCGCCCGGCCACCTCTCCGCTCCCGCTCCCCTGGCCCAGGTTGAGGGGGGCCAGCTGCTTCCCTGGTGACCTGCCTGGGCTGCGATCTCGACATTTCCAAGGGAGCCGAGGCGGAAATATCCCTTCTCCTCCACAGTGGCCTTGGCCTAGATTTTCAGCCAGAACAATGGGTCTAAGATGCGGCTGGAGGTTCTTCAGCCCAGGGGAGGGGGAGGACCTCAGACTGGTAGCTCGGAGACGCGGCTGGGCTTTCTCATTGGCCCACTCTGCGGGTGCCCTTGAGCAG